CTGGTTTTGTCAGAGAAGTGCAACATACGTAACAGTAAGATAAACCTGTTCACTGGGATGATTTCACTGAAGACCGGGGTAGAAATTAGCCGATCTGTGGACCAGTATGCTTTTATATTATGCTTATAGACATGAGGCATAAGCATTATTGTTGCAAAAAGCAAATACATTTCTGCAACAGTCGTCTCTTTCCACCGGTGTAGTCTTGACTGTGGTGATATGATCGTATTTGCCATGGTGTACTCAAAATACTTGTTACTTTCCCTGACAATAGTTTCCATCAAGGGCTGGTCAAAGAATATTAAAAAAAATTCCAGTTCATTGGCTGTGGTTCCAAGGGGACAAGTAGGTAGAATTCCACTTTTAGAGTCATCAAAGTGGTGGGGCTTGGGAACAAAATTGGGATTTTACTGCCAATCCCAGATACAGTTTGCTGGTGGATACTGGACATCATAGGCTGGTTGTGCAGGTAGTTGTGGTTGTGGTGGGCTGGTGGCTGATGCTCTGCTTTGTCCTTGAACTGAGGAGTCAGCAGCATGGGTCCCAGCCTGGGCTGGTGAGTCACACATGGCCGTGGCACTACCATCACCACTACCACCACCTACTGATGTCTGTGGTCTATTCATGCCAAGTGTAGCCACATCATCCTCACTTTCACTGTCTATTCCTGGTGTAGGGCCATGGGATGTACTCCGTCCCCTGGGCACTGCATAGGGTACACTACCTGAGTGCATGCAGCGGCATACATACCAACGCTTCACTGGTGAATATGTTTCCTCACTATCACTACTCGAATGATCGTCAAGAGCAATAAAATCACAATCAACGTCACTATCATCATCATTACTGAAGTCAGAGGCCTGGCCATGCGAAAATAATAGTTTTCTCTTGCGATGAGGTACAACTGACCGTGACTGAGGAGTGCCCACACCAGAGGTAGAAGGTTGAGGATCATCAGGGTTTTCTGTGCTATTATCGATATCCTGGTCATTCCTTTTGGTCACTAACTGATCAAAGCCAAAGAATTCATCTTCATTTCCACTTCCATCAGAGTCAGAACTATCAGACAGGAAGAGGAGAGTCCCAATTTTCCTTGGAGTGAGAGCTGCCTTGCGACGAGGCATGGTGAACAAAGGTAACTGAGCCGGCGTTCCCACAATGCTATGCGGGTGCCTAGAATTTTTGTTTATGGCGCACACCTTCCACGCAGACCCGTTCTCTCACATGTAGGCCTATGAGCGTTTTCGCGCTAAATTTGACGCCGCTAGAATTTTGGTGTAGATCTACGGTTTGGACCCTGAACGTGAAGCCGTAGATCTACGGGACGGACCCTGAAAGGGTTAAGAGGAGGATTTATATTACAGTGGTGTCCTATGTATGTAGTGAGCACAATAAAAAGTATGGGTGTTTTGTATATTGAGTAAGTTAAGACTCTTGAATAGTGGGGGAGTATGCTGTCTCGAGTTGGAATTTGTTATCAATTGGACTACTGTTTTCTGTTGGGTTATTAAGGGTCTGAGGTGATTTACTGTAGTTGAGCCCCATGCACAGACTCCATAGGTGAGACAGGGGTAAATGAGGGAGTGGTACAGAGCAAGGAGAGATGATTGTGGTACATAGTACCATGTCTTTGATAGAATGCCTACTGTGTTAGAGACTTTCTTAGAAATTTGCCATATGTACATCTGGAATTTGAGACTGCTGTCAAAGTGGAGTCCTAGAAATCTACCCTCAGTGAGTCTAGAAATGGGTGATACATTTATCATTATGTTAACCTGTACATTTGAGGCCCATTTTCCAAATTGCATGAAGTAGGTTTTGTCTATATTGAGAGTAACCCTGTTTGTCATCATCCAGGTAGATATTTTTTGTAGTTCAGCATTTACAGTGTTAGTCATTATGAGTGGATCTGGGTGAGAGAAAATGTAAGTAGTGTCATCTGCGAATAGTATGGGTTTAAGGAGTTTAGATGTGTTTGGTAGATCATTAATGTAAGTGAGAAAGAGAAGTGGGCCAAGGCCACTACCTTGTGGGACACCAACAGTTACTGGTTGTGTGGTAGAGTTAGCTCCATTTGTGTATACATACTGGTTTCTGCTGCTAAGGCATGACTTTAGGCAATTGAGAGAGTGCCCTCTTATTCCATTATGAGTTAACTTTAGGTGTGGTAAGTCATGATCAGCTGTATCAAAAGCTTGTTGTATATCGATGAATATTCCTAGGGGATAGGTTCTTTTTTTTCAAGTGCCATATATATTAGCTCTAGCATGTGTATTATAGCATCATTCGTGCTTTTTTTTTGGCCTGAATCCAAACTGGCTGACGGGTTGAGTATATTGAGGGAGACTAGGTAGGAATAGGCTTATTTAAGAATTAATTTTTCAAAGATTTTAGAAAGAAGAGGTAAGTTAGATATTGGCCTGTAGTTGTTCAGGTCAGTTGGATCACCACCTTTGTGGATCAGGGTGACCCTTGCTATTTTGAGAATTTGTGGGAAGATGGAGGATTCATTGGATATGTTAAAGAGAGTTGCAGTAATTGGTGAGAGTACACAAGAAGCTTTTTTATACATAAGAGGTGATGTTTTGCTTTGAGTTGCAAGCCAAAATCCAAGTTACAAGAGAGCTTCAGATATGCCGCCACTAGTTGGCACAGTGAATGCCACAACATCCACCCAGCATCCCAGCATTTTGTGTTTTTTGTGCAGTTATTTTGCCAAATTTCATTTTTCTAACCATGGGTCCTAAGAAAGAAAGTGCAAAGGACAATGCTGAGAAGAAGAGGATGATGCCCATCGAATTAAAGCATGAAATCATAGAAAAACACGAGAAAATCCCTTTTATTTCTGCGTTTTCCTTATGAAGCTAGTGATCTAGTACAGTTAACCTCACAAACACTCCGTTTTCTCACATAATAAGACCTCAGAAGGACAAGAATGGGAAGATAGGGTCAGTGATAATTATTTTTATGTCAGGAGTGGCCATCACCACCTGTCACATAATGACATATTTTATCCATTCTAGAGTATATATCATGTTTCTAAGTTATTTATATTATTTATTAAGTCATATTAGATGAATTATGATAGCTAAATAAGCCATAGAGTTGATATTAGCAATATATTGAAGTATTTTTTCCTGCCTCCCAAGAGCCATGAGTTCTGCTGGAACAGACTAATGGCATTTCAGTTAATTTCAACAAGGAAAATTAATTTGATGTATGAGCAAATTGAGTTATGAGCTTAGTCACGGGCCTCTTAAGTCAAGATACCACTGTATATCATTCATTCTATCAAATAATACCATAAAAGCCATCCAAACATACACTGCAAAGTCGCTGTTTTAAACCAGATACATGGTCACGCTTTTTTTTCCCCCATCATGCAGTGCATGGGGCAAGATTTTTTATATGGTGCACACTCACTGCATAGACCCATTCTCTCATTTCTAGGCCCAGATTTACCACTCGCTGCATATTTGAGTGAGCTGAGCTCATCATGTAGTTCTACATCACAGACCCTGAGTTCAAACCCGTAGTACTATGGCACAGACCTCAGTAGGGTTAATGGTCCAAGTCATACTGAAATGTCGTCATAAGTTTCTTTCTCTTATATGAAGGTTATCTGTGTATTGTTCCATTCAGGATATTGTAACTTTTTATTCCTTTATTATAAGTTTGTGTACTCTAATAAGACAGGCAAGTACAGAGTGATTAATCCATTGTTTATGTTTGAAATATTTACAAAGTACTGGATACTAGATATATATTTCTTTTAGATTTCACTTGCTATATGTGTAGTAGAAATTTATGCTACTGATAATAAATATTCTCTGAAAATAATATTGTAATAGTATATCAAAGTACTTAGATACTCTCTATATCTATCAGAGCAGGAAGAGGGGTGTTAATGTTGCTGTTTTATGACTGTAGTGTAAGTGTGCCTCTGGCAAGACAGTGATAGAGTGAATAATGAATTTTTTCTATTTTGGGTTACTCTACCTTGGTAAGAAATGGCTGATGTGTTAATAAAAAAAAATAAATATGTGAATGGAGACGAATGGTATTTGGGACCTGACGAGCTGTTGGAGTGTGAGCAGGGTAATATTTAGTGAAGGGATTCAGGGAAACCGGTTATTTTTATATAGCCAAACTTGAGTCCTGGAAATGGGAAGTACAGTGTCTGCACTTTAAAGGAGGGGTTCGGGATATTGGCAGTTTGGAGGGATATGTTGTGTATCTTTATATGTATGTGCTTCTAAACTGTTGTATTCTGGGCACCTCTGCAAAAACAGTGATTATGTGTGAGTGAGGTAAAAGTGTTGAAATATGATGAAAGTATTTTCTTTTTGGGGATTTTCTTTCTTTTTGGGTCACCCTGCCTTAGTGGGAGATGGCCAACTTGTTAAAAAAAAAAAATATGTATTTTGATTCATAGTTACCTGGGTCATTATAAGTGCTCTTCGTGATGACTTGCACTCTGTACTCTACTGAGGGTTAAGCTGTCTTAGTTTTTCCTCTGCACATGGACTTTTCCTTTATAAAATCTTGAAGATTATCCTAATATGTGAATCACTGAAAGGAGAGGAGAAAATTTGTGTATGGGTATTTTGATAGGCCAAAATGGGGAAGTGAAACAGAATTCTTCCTCTGTAAGCCATGCGTGTCGTAAGAGGTGACTAAAATGCCAGGAGCAGGGGGCTAGTAACCCCTTCTGTATAAATTACTAAATTTAAAAAAGAGAAACTTTCATTTTTCTTTTTTGGGCCACCCTGCTTTGGTGGGATACTGCTGTTAGTTTTGATAGACAGACACTGTAGAGCCAACTTTTACTGAGAGCATTTCACTCTGTAGAATTTTATCAATTTTTACTACTTGCCTTTTTCTCACTATTTGATAATTTAGAATGTATATTGATGAAGTTGTAACTAATTCTGAACACTGTATAGCATCTGAAATTAGATAATTAAATAAGACAATTTTTTTTGTCTCGAATACTGCAGTGAACTGAAAATTCTGGAGAATGAAGCAATTTCTACAGGGGCTGCAGCACTTAAAGACGACGCTGTTCAGTCCAGCAAAGAAGCTGATGAAGCCATTTCCACTATATCCAATGTTGAAGACTTACTAATCAGAGCTGGTGAAGATGCACGCTTGCTGATGAGGAATGTAGCCGAAGGTGAAAAGGATATAGAACTTGCTCATAAACAAGGTTTGTTGAGAATTTACTTGTGGATGAATTACATATTGTACTGTATTAAAAAATGTAAATTTTAAAGTGATATAGATATCTGTTCTACATAAAATTTATTATTATTATTAATAACCTCTTCTCCTGTATATACACCTACCATCCGACTTACGACCTGCTCGACTTACGACCACTCGACTTACAACCGTGTTTTTTATGCCAAATTTCTGGGAAATAAACAACTATTTGTGTTGTACACAGTGTTTATCCTAAACCTTACAGTATAAAATACAGTACTAACAGCATAAAAAGTAAAGTAAAACATGAAATACCAAAATAAAACAATAAAATAAAGTCATTAGTACTAACAGCATAAAAAGTAAAGTAAAACATGAAATACCAAAATAAAACAATAAAATAAAGTCATTAGTACTAACAGCATAAAAAGTAAAGTAAAACATGAAATACCAAAATAAAACAATAAAATAAAGTCATTACAAAAATGTTTTGTTGATATTCAGTAGTAAAGTCGACTTACGACCATTTCAACTTACGACCGGTTTCTCAGAACTGAACTCAGTCGTAAGTCGGATGGTAGGTGTATTACTAAATGTAAAAGGAGAAACTTTGGTTTTTCCTTTTGGGCCACCCCCACCTTGGTGGGATACAGCCGGTGCGTTGAAAGAAAGAAGAATTATTATTAATTTATGATAGCAGATTATACAGTGCAATTAATGATAGAGGGTCATTACCCCATCTGTTAATCAGGAGACAGACACTACCATTCATTATGCACCTATTGACACATAGAATTTAGAATATGTTTAAAGTTAATTTTCACAAACCATGAGAACTGATCAAATACAGTATAAACTTCTCAAATGTAATGCACTTTGATTATAGGCTCCCTGAAGAATAAACATGAATAAATTTATTGGTTAAGATGCAAAATAATAATTGATGTAAAGGGATGTTTTGTAAATTTAGCTTCAACACTAAGGTATTGAATGACACAAAATATAAAAGAAACTGTTAAACATTTCCTGGCAAACAGGTATAAGGGCATTAAATTCAGACGAGTGATTGGAAATATTGAATATAGAGGTGTAGAGTGGTTGTACAAAATTTGCCCTGAGAAAGTTTGAAAATTGATCACATATAGATAAAATCTAGAAGACTAGAGAAAAAATGAAAAGGGTTGATGTGCTAAAAATGACAATGTCACAGTAAAAATAAAGCTTTCTTAGACATATCCCTCATTTTGATTATGAAGTAAAAATTTCCTAAAGACTAAACAAATACAAAAACAGATAAAAGTCATTCAAGAATTTGAGATTTCTTGTTTTACTTTCTGAAATTCTGACCTTAAAACCCTCTTCCAGTATTGTCTTCTTACTTACAGGAAAAGCAAAGAAATGAGCAAAATCCTGTAATAAAAATATGATTCCATGTTTAATAAACTAATCAACACACTGAGAGTAGAAGATTAGGACTTTTTATTTGTACAGTTGTCTCTGCTAGATCTGATATGAAAACAACCCTGACAATCATTGAACAAGAAAGCGCCATTCACTTGGTTCCAGGGTCAGATTCCTGGAAAAGTGTATTTATAAAGAAAGGAAAATGCCACTAGTAAAGTGTTCTTGAGAACTTAGATACTAGAAGCCCCAAATTACAGCAGACATAGTGCCACTTCACAAAAGTAGGCAGCAGAATGACAGCAAAACACTACAGATCAGTAGCACTAGCATAAGTCGTTGAGAGGGTGCAAAGAAGGCAACATGAATAAGGCCAAGAAGTATAACAAAAAGTTAAGACATAGATATTAACCCTTTCACTGTCTATCCCTTAACATTACGGCTTGCAAGCCAATGTCAGTCCTGTAATAGTACACCAAAAATTCTAGCAGCTTCCAGTCATGTGGGAGAAACCTGGTAGGCCTACATATGAGAGAATGGATCTTAGTGGTCACTGTGCACAGTATAAAAAAATCCTGCAGCATGCAGTGCATAATGAGAAAAAAAACTTTACCGTGTTTTTGGTTTAAAACAGCGAATTTGTAGTGTATTTTCGTATGGCATTTATGGTTGTATTCTCGTTTTCTTGGTCTCATTTATTAGAATGGAAGATATACTACAGAAATAGACATGATTTTCAATGGTTTAAGACTAAAAGCATCTTGAAATTGAGCTCAAAGTATCAGAAATGTTCGATTTTTGCCATTGTTCAAGAGTAAACAAATTATGTCATGTGTCCAGTGCACATTAACTGGTGGGTATAATATGCTTTCACAGATGTGCTGATATTATTTATACAATTTTTACAGTAATATAGTAGTCTGCATAACACTAAATCTTCTATTTAATGGGTGAATAAAAATTCAAAATGGAAAGCAAGCATAATAAAAGAGAGGCTTGGAGATGTGACTGACGAACAGAGAAAATGTTAATCTAGTGCTAGGATTGTTTGCATTGTTAATTCTAGACCCTCTTTTGAAATTGGCCTTCTTTGAATTTCATATGAAATTGGCCAAATTACCAGTTTCTGATCACTTTATTCGGTAGTTGAAATTGGTAAATGGGTGGTTTCTTGTACTCAGTCAATAGAACAAAAGGAGTTCTAGTAAAATAGCTATGAATTTAGTCGACTGGAACAATGGCATAGGCCAAAAATAGGGCTCAAAGTGGGTGAAATCACCAATGCATCAGTATTGCTGAGACTGCTAACTTTATGAGAGTGTAATTCCACAAGTTTTCCATCAAATTTTGTGATTTTGGTTTCTTTACCACTGGGAAAAAATTCTCTTTATTTCATAAGAAAAAAAAAAAAATTTTTTTTTAAATTCTTCGACACTGAGAGCAAGTTTGTGAGCAAAGGTCATGACAGTGAATGGGTTAAATTTTGTACTTTTGGTGTCTGTACCTTTGGAAAAAGATTCTTTACCATTTTAGAAGATTTTTTTTTTTTTTTTTTTTGACACAGCAAGTTTCATTTCAGAGATCTGGACAGTGAAAGGGCTAAATTGAGGGTCCACTGTATTTAAATGAAAATACTATAACATCCAAGATACTTTATATAATATTTTGTAATTCATAAATTATGCATTTACGGTTTAATAACATGCACTGTTGGTTCTTGTGCATTGTTCAGTGGAACGAGTGGAGCAAGTAGTCCCTGAGATGACTCAGCTAGCTACACAACTTCGTGCACAAAAGGAAGTAATTCAGACTCTTGGAATTGATGTTGGAGATCGTCTAGAGAAACTGCGACGCACCATTCAAAAGACACGTGAACTGGCCAATAAGATTAAAGTGGGTGTATCATTTCTACCAAACACCACGATTGAAGTGGAGAATCCAGAGGACCTCATCAAAGCTGCCACTTCTACTAAGGTAAAGTTATACAAGGCCACTAAATGCTTACTAATGAAAATATTCTGCATGTGGAAATATGTATATTCTCCTAAATGTTTGCAAGAACTTCAAGTAAAATTAGAATATTTAATGAAATCCTGTAGTTCTAGGTTTGGCTTAAGAGGATTAAAAAATTGCTATATTATTCACTAAAAGTAGGATTTCAATGTAGTAGTAGCAGTCATCACCACTGCCTTCACTACCATCATCATAGTCAAGGTTATTATTGTAATTATTATTATTATTATTATTATTATTATTATTATTCTTTCTTTCAACACACCTGCTGTATCCCACCGAGGCAGGGAGGCCCAAAACAAAAAACGAAAGTTTCTCCTTTTACATTTAGTAATATATACAGGAGAAGGGTTACTAGCCCCTTGCTCCCGGCATTTTAGTTGCCTCTTACAACACGCATGGCTTACGGAGGAAGAATTCTGTTCCACTTCCCCATGGAGATAAGAGTAAATAAACAAGAACAAGAACTAATAAGAAAATAGAAGAAAACCCAGAGGGGTGTGTGTATATATAGTTGTACAGGCATGTGTAGTGTGACCTAAGTGTAAGTAGAAGTAACAAGACGTACCTGATTATAATCATCATTTCCACCCTGCCCACTATCTTTCACAGGGTGGTCAAGTCCAAACCAGGAAATGATCAAAGTGGCAAAATATAAAGAAACACAATAACTCAGTTTTATTGTTGTATATGATTGAGAAGGGTTGATGGTAGGGGGTAAAGGTTTTGTACATCCAGCAGGCTTGTGTGAATGTTATATCGGAGGAAAGGGAGATAAGTGATATTTTATAAAGTGTAGCATGCTGTTGGAGTGTGACCAAGGTAATATTTATGAAGGGATTCTGGAAAAATGGATAGCCAGATTTAAGGGGCACTGAAGTTCCTCTGTCTTCTAATAACATGTTCATTTTTCCACTATAGTTTACCTTGTCCATAATTACTATCGCATTTGATTTGTCTGTTACCTAAGGTGAAGTCTTGGATCTTTCCTAATTCATGTTATAACTTAACAGATCTTTGAGGACAGTTGTGTTGGAGAGGTCTGAACAAAGCTCAGACCTCTCCAACACTGTATTTTCCAACTAGAGGTGGGAAATGCAGTGCCTGACTCTGAAGGAGGAATGAGGATGTTACAGTATGGAGGGTCATCTGAACTGTCATGTCAGCATGTTTCTGGCAAGACAGTGATTGAATGAATGACAGTTAATGTGTTTCTTATTTTTTGGGTCACCCTTTCTTGGTGGGAGATTGCCTGTGTTAAAGATTAAAAGATCAAGAAATAGCCAGTGTGATGTAGACTGCCAGTCCTGTGTGTTAGCAGGTCCAGATAACCTGTGAGAATCTATGCTCATCAGCAGTCACAGGATGGACATCATGAAACCATAATTATGTAACTGTTGGGTGCCTTGTATTTTATGTTAATGTAGGAAAATAAGAATATGCACAGGAATTGTATTTTTTATTTATTAAACAAAGAAACGTGTACAGTACTGAGTAAAATTTTTTGCTAGTTTGATGATGCACATTATTGTGAGTATTTTAGAAAGTGGCAAAGTTGTGTTCAAGATCAACTTTTGTAAATATTATGGTAAGTAGCAAAGGAGGGAAACTTATAGGACAGTGTGGTGATGTGAAAGATATCAGATAAAAGTAGGCTGAGCAAGAGACTAAAAATTTGGGTTGGATGGAAGGTGGTGGTTGGAATGTTCCAGGAAAAAAGTGAAGGTTTTGAGTGGTATGGGCTTGAGAATTAAACAGGCACGTGTGAGCATGTTAGATTGAAATGAGTAGAAACAGGTGATTCTTATTATATGATTTGCTGGTGCAATGTGAGGAAGGTAACATTTATAAAAAGATTCAGGCCTCACTTTTAAGGATTGATGAGATCATGAGATTTATGGGAATAAAACTAGGAATACCTCTCTTAATCTCTTAATTAAAGTGAATCACATATTACTTCATTTTTCACAGCTTTCTCTGTTTACTCAAACGGAGGAGCCAACAGGACTTCTTCTATTTATGGGTACACCTGTCGGAGGTAGTAAACGAATGCGTCGCACAACGACTGATGATTTCATGGCCCTTGAAGTGGATGGTGGTTATGTAAGGCTCACAATGGATCTTGGGGCTGGTCCACACACTATTGAGTACAATAAGTTGTATATTGCTGATGGTGTTTGGACTAAGATCACTATTGAGAGGTAAATAAAAATTAGCTGAAATTAACACTAAATATTTTAACTTTGATTTGGCCTTCATTATTATTTTTTTGAAGACATCTGAAAATAGTGGATACAGTTTTTAGTGTATGTCCCTTATATAAAGATTATTGTTTATTTATTTTTGCAGAACAGGCAAGTTGGTGAAGTTATATGTGGATCGAGAAGAAATGCAAGGTGAACCAGTGGAGGAAGTATTACCTGGCAAGTATTCTGTCTTCAATCTTGATCCCAAAGTGTCAAAAATCTATGTTGGTGGAATTCCTGCTGGTACTCAGGTTAACAGGGCCATCCTTAGCACTTCATTCTATGGCAAGATGGAAGACCTTCGTCTTAATGATCAACCTATCGGATTGTGGAATTTCAAAATGGATGGAACCAACAACAATCAGCAACGAGGTGCTTTGGAAAGGTTAGAGAATGCTTATAATGTGAATTCTGTTAAAAAAAAAACAAAGGAGGGTTTAGTTTACATAATGTTGCAAAAAATTCTGCATAATGTCATCAACTTCATGGTAAGAGTACTTATTGTAGAAAATGTGCCAAATACTGTATAAATACTTTGTTGTTTTTACTAAACTGGCTGTTTCAAACTAGGGTGACCTATAAGAGGAAACATTCATCATCATTCATTTATTAGCAGTCTTGTCAGAAATGCACAGACATTAGAATTAAAATAACTCCGAACTGCAACATCTTATCTCATCCTTCAGAGAATAGGCACTTCTTCCCACCTCCAGGACTTGGGTCTGGCTAAGTGATTTTCTGGTTACATGTATTTACATGTATTTGCTGATGACACTGTGCTCTTGGGAGATTCTGAAGAGAAGTTGCAGAGATTGGTGGATGAATTTGGTAGGGTGTGCAAAAGAAGAAAATTAAAGGTGAATACAGGAAAGAGTAAGGTTATGAGGATAACAAAAAGATTAGGTGATGAAAGATTGAATATCAGATTGGAGGGAGAGAGTATGGAGGAGGTGAACGTATTCAGATATTTGGGAGTGGACGTGTCAGCGGATGGGTCTATGAAAGATGAGGTGAATCATAGAATTGATGAGGGAAAAAGAGTGAGTGGTGCACTTAGGAGTCTGTGGAGACAAAGAACTTTGTCCTTGGAGGCAAAGAGGGGAATGTATGAGAGTATAGTTTTACCAACGCTCTTATATGGGTGTGAAGCGTGGGTGATGAATGTTGCAGCGAGGAGAAGGCTGGAGGCAGTGGAGATGTCATGTCTGAGGGCAATGTGTGGTGTGAATATATGCAGAGAATTCGTAGTTTGGAAGTTAGGAGGAGGTGCGGGATTACCAAAACTGTTGTCCAGAGGGCTGAGGAAGGGTTGTTGAGGTGGTTCGGACATGTAGAGAGAATGGAGCGAAACAGAATGACTTCAAGAGTGTATCAGTCTGTAGTGGAAGGAAGGCGGGGTAGGGGTCGGCCTAGGAAGGGTTGGAGGGAGGGGGTAAAGGAGGTTTTGTGTGCGAGGGGCTTGGACTTCCAGCAGGCATGCGTGAGCGTGTTTGATAGGAGTGAATGGAGACAAATGGTTTTTAATACTTGACGTGCTGTTGGAGTGTGAGCAAAGTAACATTTATGAAGGGATTCAGGGAAACCGGCAGGCCGGACTTGAGTCCTGGAGATGGAAGTACAGTGCCTGCACTCTGAAGGAGGGGTGTTAATGTTGCAGTTTAAAAACTGTAGTGTAGAGCACCCTTCTGGCAAGACAGTGATGGAGTGAATGATGGTGAAAGTTTTTCTTTTTCGGGCCACCCTGCCTTGGTGGGAATCGGCCGGTGTGATAATATAATGTATTTAATGTAAGAGCCTGTTATTACAAAAGTCAAAATCACTTACCTTCTGTGACTTGCAATCAGTGTAACAAACACTATTTGATGCAATGATGATGTGAGAATCTTGGTTGTTGAATTTAATTCATTCCAGACATCAATTCAACAACCAAAATAGATGATAACTAAAGTAATTTTTCCCATAAAGAATAATATAAATAGAATTAATTCATTCCAGACCCTGAAGGACAATATAATAATTTATTAAAAATGTACTAACTACTACATAAAATTGTAAAAATATTAAAAGAAACTTTAACAGAAATACTGCACAGTAAATGAAAATTTAACACTCTTATTTGTCAGAGGAGATCTAATGGCATACTGGAAGTAGGAGGTGGAGGAGAGGAGGGGGTATGTTATTGCTTGGAAAGGAGAGTCACCTTCTTTTAATATGTCGGGCAACTGTCCTTCTGTTATTGTTTCTCTTCTTTGTCTCTTTTCACCACTAACAAACTCCTTGTTCTGGCTCACTGGTTCTGTGTCTCACTAAAAACCTGTCCAGTGAGGTTTATTTCAGGCTCCATTTTAACACTTGTCTAAATTGAGATATTACACTGCCATTGTACAAGTTAGAGAGATGGATGGTCACTGCTTTGTCTGGATGGTATTTTCAGCAAACTCCTGCACTGCACGCCGTTTATCACACATTTCCTTGACAAGTGCAATGGGCACATCATCGGTTACCTCCTCTTCCTTTGATAACAGCTCCTCCGCAATTTGTTGCTGCTCCTTCTGAAGGTCTACAAGTTCTTCTGTGGTGAGTTCAGTTCTGTGCTCCTCCACCAACTCCTCCACATCATCTTCAGTCGCCTCTAGGCCCAAGGTCTTCACCAGGGATACAATATCCTCTACTGGCTCAGGCTCATCTTCTAAGCCTTCAAAATCCCTGGCTGCCACAAAGTCAGGCCACAATTTCTTCTATGCTGACTGCATGGAAATCCGTGAGGGTTAAATTTGTTTCTGAAGTGATTTCAAAGCACCTTTCAAAAAGTGATTGGTGTAGTTTCTTGAGGTTAGCAATGACCTGCTGGTCATTTCTCTACTCTACAGTCAGTATGATATCCAGTACATTATGACAGGCCATGCTGATACGTCACAAGATGAATTACTGTATAACCAATGTGATTAGCCAGCTTATGTTTCATAGTGTATATAAGCCAGTTACTCAACCTGCAGATTAGAGATTTGTTCAGATGTTGCCTGCTCTCCTGAATTGTGTCTACAGTCAGTGAGGCTGGCTGCTCTCCTGAATTGTGTCTACAGTCAGTGAGACTAGCTGCTCTCCAGAATTGTGTCTATAGTCAGTGAGGCTGGCTGCTTTCCTGGGCTGTGTCCACAGTCAGTCAGGCTGGCCACTCTCCTGGGTTGTGTCTACAGTCAATGAGGCTGGCCACTGTCCTGGGTTGTCTACACTCATTGAGGCTGGCCACTCTGTTGGGTTGTGTCTACAGTTAGTGAGGCTGGCCACTCTCTTGAATTGTGTCTGTAGTTAGAGAGACTGGCTGCTCAAATGGACTGTCTATAGCCAGTGAGGCTGACTGCTCTCCTGTATTGTGTCTGCAGTCAGAGGCTGGCTGCTATCCTGGATTGTGTGTACAGTCAGTGAGGTTGGCTGCTGTCCTGGATTATGCCTACAGTCAGTGAGGCTGGCCCCTCACCTGGGCGTGTCTGCAGTCATTGAGGCTGGCTGCTCTCCTGGGTTGTGTCTGTAGTCAGGCTGGCCACTCTCCTGGGTTATGTCTACAATCAAAGAGGCTGGCTGCTTTCCTGAATTGTGTCTACAGTCAGTCAGGCTGGCCACTCTCCTGGGTTGTGTGTGCAGTCAGAGAGGCTGGCCACTCTCTGCTCTGTAATTGCTGAACTTTTATTTGCATGAAGTTTTTACACAGTTTCTGTGATGTGTGGCATGTCAGTGAGTAATTTCTGTGTTAAGGTTCAATGAACTACTAATGGGAATAGCAGCCTTTCTGAATAATATCTTTTAAGAAACATAAGAAAGGAGGAACACTGCAGGAGGCCTGTTGGCCCATACTAGGCAAGTCCTTTACAATTCATCCCACTAACAAAACATTTGCCCAACCCAATTTTCAATGCCACCCAAGAAATAAGCTCTGATGTGAAAGTCCCACTCAAATCCAACCCCTCCCACTCATGTACTTATCCAACCTAAATTTGAAACTACCCAAAGTCCTAGCCTCAATAACCCAACTAGGTAGACTGTTCCACTCATCAACTACCCTATTTCCAAACCAATACTTTCCTATATCCTTTCTAAATCTAAACTTATCTAATTTAAATCCATTACTGCTGGTTCTCTCTTGGAGAGACATCCTCAAGACCTTATTAATATCCCCTTTATTAATACCTATCTTCCACTTATACACTTCGATAAGGTCTCCCCTCATTCTTCATCTAACAAGTGAATGTAACTTAAGAGTCTTCAATCTTTCTTCATAAGGAAGATTTCTAATGCTATGTATTAATTTAGTCATCCTACGCTGAATGTTTTCTAACGAATTTATGTCCATTCTGTAATATGGAGACCAGAACTGAGCTGCATAATCTAGGTGAGGCCTTACTAATGATGTATAAAGCTGCAGTATGACCTCTGGACTTCTGTTGCTTACACTTCTTGATATAAATCCCAGTAATCTATTTGCCTTATTACGTACGCTTAGGCACTGCTGTCTTGGTTTAAGGTTGCTGCTCACCATAACCCCCAAGTCCTTTTCGCAATCTGTATGGCTAAGTTCTACATCATTTAACTTATAAGTACTAGGGTTATGGGCACTCCCAAGCTTCAGAACCTTGCATTTATCTACATTGAACTGCACTGCCACTTTTCTGACCAAGAATAGAGTTTGTTTAAATCCTCCTGAAGTTCCATAACATCTACGTTTGAATCAATTATCCTACCTATCTTTGTGTCATCGGCGAATTTGTTCATATCACTAGTAATTCCCTCATCAAGATCATTGATATATATTATAAACAACAACGGGCCCAAGACTGATCCTGTGGAAACGCCACTTGTTACAGATCCCCACTCGGATTTAACCCCATTTATGGACACACTCTGCTTCCTGTCAGTGAGCCATGACTCGATCCACGAGAGCACTTTTCCCCCAATGCCATGAGCTGCCACTTTCTTTAACAGTCTATGGTGCGGAACTCTATCAAAAGCCTTACTAAAATCTAAGTAAATAATATCAAATTCTTTATCGTGGTCAACAGCCTCAAAAGCTTTACTGAAGAAAGTTAATAAATTAGTTAGACAAGACCGGCCTCTTGTGAATCCATGCTGAGTATCATTAATCAAGCTATGCTTATCGAGATGGCTTCTTATAATCTCAGCTATAATTGACTCTAGCAACTTGCCTACAATTGAGGTCAGGCTTATTGGGCGGTAATTTGACGGTAACGACTTGTCCCCTGTTTTAAAAATAGGAATTACATTAGCCATCTTCCACATATCAGACACTACACCTGTTTGAAGAGATAAATTAAAAATATTAGTTAATGGTTCACAGAGTTCCATTTTGCATTCCTTAACCCTTTCAGGGTC